AGATAGTAAGACTAAGACTTCTTGTCTGTCCTTGCAGGAAGTTTCATGGTTTCTAGAGAATGTTTGAGAAGTATAGAGATACTTACACAGATTCTGTACAACTAACTTTGTTAGACTTACGACGTTGACTTTATTCGTCTCCCATTCGAATCAAATTTTCGTGCATTTCTCCCTGTGAGTCCAATACTCCAATGGCAAGTATCGTTGACGACAAAACCGTGCGAGAGAGAGGGACAGAGAACGTGAAGTCGCGTTTCTGTTGCGAGAGGATCGACGTTTGGTGAGGGTTCGTATCAGTAAAGGTGGAGGTAAGAAAGAGGTCGGATGAGGGGGTAAAGAGTAGGACAACGGGGAGTAAGAGACAGTTAGCGAGGGAAAGGAGGAAAGTCGAGTGAGATGGGTGTACGCGATATAGGTTTCGGTTTGGGCAGTCGCTGGAATGCGACGATGGTGGGGAGAGGACGCATGGCCGTACGCCATGCCATGCCACGCCGTATGTACGGACACTCAATGCCGTATGGCTTAGCTGTATGTATTTACAAGACCTCAGCACCGCGTCCATCGCATTCCGCGCCCCAGGCAGAATCCGTACTTTTGTTTACGCCCACGTGCACCTCCCTTCGAACACGAATTTTCTCTTGGTCCGCGTTAAATCAACGCACGGCACCCGTGTATTATTATTTTCGCTGTCAACGAACACGCGCGCCATATATCCCAAACCCTCACGAAATGTAACTTAAAGGCGCAGCTGTCGATAACGTCGATGATTAATATCGACGTGTTATCGATAATTCGAGACATCAACCCCGATAGACTACTGGCATTCCTAGCGGAAGAATTAGGAAGTAATTCGAACAAATTCAATTGCAAAGTAATGTAAAGCTAGAATTAAATAAATTTAAAGAACGAACTAATGCGAGATTGGCACGTTAGGTTTTATTGGCAAGTTATATGATTTTGCACTCTTATAAATAAAAGTCAGTCATTTACTTGTACAGATATGCACTGGACAGTTGATATTTGTTGTTAGAGGCATTCCTCTTCTTGTAGTCTTGCATAGACTTGTATAGAAGATTTATTGAATAACATTTATGATTGAACTTGGAAGCTTATTGCATCGTAACTTTCATGGTACCAATATTGCAGAGATTCTGATGAAGATGTCAAACAAATAATAAAAGATATGCAAGAAATTATAAGGAGTGGAATGGATCTAGAGCAGAACTGAATATAAGGAGAAAACCAGTCGTATAGTGTGCTACGAATAAGAAGTTGTTGCAACGGTTACACTATAAGAAGATGATAGACAGTAACACGGATAGATAGATAGACGCGAGGTAAATGTTTTCGACCACATTTCGAACAACCGTTCAACTGAATCATTTCCATACGATTAAAAATAAAGTTGCATAGAAATGATTGGTAGAGACATTTGACCTTTATAAAGTAAAAGCTTACGCCCAAAATGTAATCAATATACATGTTTCTCTCCAACGAGTTACTTCAAATACATTCATGCAACATGTTACTACATTTAATTGTAATCATATATACATTTATATACTGTCATTTCGTTTAATGAAAGTAGATCTGTTAAAAGATGCAGAATGTAGTAAAATTCTAAGGCGAGAATATTTCTTTCAGCTTTAAAAAAGGGATGCTAGGAAACAGTTAGTTCCTCGTAAAAACACTTGGAAGGATCCTCCAGAATGTCGACATTCCGCGAAGATCTCGCGGATGAAAATTCTACGAAAGGGCAGCCAACATTGCACGCGTGCTTTCACTTTATGAAGAAACGGGAGGGGGTCGAAAGGGTGCGGGGAGCCGAAGCTGTTCTTGATATGCACGCTTAAGGAAGCACTTTGGCTGCCAGTCGGAGTAATTGCATACAAGGGTCCGTCGAAGGGGGCAACACGATCAGTTGGCTTCTAAAAAGTTTCCGCACCCCAGTTTCTCGCGAATGGTACTTACAGATAAAATAATATCAAATTTATAGTTACAACTAAACGAGCAAAAACATTTTTGCATCAATTATTCATCAGTTTACTCTGAATTTATTTATGATTTACGAAACCGTCATCTTTCTCCACTTTTTGTGTAAGTAGATTAATGACTTTCTTATTAAACTCCGTTCGAGGTCAATTGCTCCAGTCGGTAACCGTTAATTACGCAATCCGTTAATGATTAAAAAGAGGAATACGAGAGATAATCGATTATTTTTCCAAACTAAAACAACTCCTACGGAGCAAACCGGTCGCGAAGGCTACGCGTTAACAGCTAATAATATAATATAGTCGTAACAAGTCGCTATTCCATACACAGGGTGCTGACGAAATCCCAGTAAAACCTGAAAAAGGAACTAAATCCTTATTTGGAATAATGCCCAACTCTGCATCGCAATGACGCTCGGTAGGATTGAACGATCTTAGGTAGCAAGAAGACGATCGAACCATGATTATTCAGTAGGATGAGCGAGTCTCAATCCTCTTCAGCAAAGTGGAGTGTACCTATCGGGCACGACGATAGTTATCGCTGAATGTCCGTCATCCGAGTGATCGAGGCCTGCACGATCGGCAGCGACTGTTTGAAAACCAGTTATCGGCTAGATCGCCTCCCGAAACAGGGCTGCCAATGCATAGGTTCAGCGAAGGCAGCGAGTTCCAATCGAAATGGGAAAATTAAAGGCTCGCGTGTTACCAGGTTTTTTCGTGATCGTTCAGACGTGACTGCTTAGATCTATTTGTGCGCTGAAACGTTATTTTCCAACTTGAACCGTTACCTTTCTATACGGATCAGATATTGGTCAATTGTTGTCATTCGACGGTCGCTATTACTCGATTACCGCCGTGAATACACGGTCTGTTTAAAAAGAAACCGAACTTTTGCTATAAAAAGAAAAAAGTACAAGTAAAGCTTTTACACACACGTTTATTTACTCAAAATAATCTCCCTCCGCGTCAATACAGCGTATTACCGCGTAATTAACATTTCGAAGGACCTTTGCAGCAGCTTCGCGAAGTTGGGACCCTCAGATGCAAATTTTGATAAAAATCAAATTGCATTTCTTTGTCCACGATTTGTCCACGTTTGTCCAACCACAATTTTCATTTGTCCATCCTTCAGAAAAAAGTTACACCAGAAACAACCCATTTGAAGTCAACACACCTATATAGACATTTTCTAGGGTTTTTTTAAGAAATGTATCTCACCACATTTTATCCGCTAATGTTTTTCGTTTGTCCAACAAGTACTTTTGTTTGTCCACCCCTCAGAAAAAAGATACACTTCAATTAAGGAGAAAATCCAGCGATGCGTTCAGGCGCATACAGTCTTTGTTAGTTTTGTAGTTATTTATTTACATCTAGACAAAACCAGTAGTGTTCCTGTTCTGCGCAGACATAAATAATTAGCTACGAAATTGACAAAACGAGGACAAATGACCCGCAACCGAGCGTATCGCTGCAACTTCTCCTTAATTGAAGTATATCTTTTTTCTGAGGGGTGGACAAATGAAAATATCGGTTGGACAAACGATAATACTTGTTGTACAAACGAAAAACGCTACTGGTTTCGTCCAGATATAAATAAATAACTACAAAACTGACAAGGACTGTACGCACCTGAGCTCATCGTTACATCTTCTCTTTAATTGAAGTGTAACTTTTTTCTGAGGGCTGGACAAACGAAAATACTTGTTGGACAAACGTAAAACATTAGTGGACAAAATGTGGTGAGACACATTTTTTAAGAAAACCCTAAAAAAAGTCTATATAGGTGTGTTGACTTCAAATGGCTTGTTTGTGGTGTAACTTTTTTCTGAAGGGTGGACAAATCAGAATTGTGGTTGGACAAACGTGAACAAATCGCTTACAGTGAAACTTTATTAAAAAACGTAAACAAAATTTGCATGATGCTGAATATTTTTTTTTTTTTTTTTTTTTTTTTTTTTTTTAATTTCTTTGGGGTGTTGGACAAATGAAAATTGTGCGTGTAAAAACTTTACTTGTACTTTTTTCTTCTAATAGCAAAAGTTCGGTTTCTTTTTAGACAGGCCGTGTATGTTTGATCCTATGCTGAGGAACTCTAGAAAACACTACGCAAGTGGAAAGTTTAGTTTGTTAATTTCATATCTTCTTGCAGATTTCTGATAGCAGTTGCATTCCTCTCTGCAACACCTGGTGTAGCTTATCCTGCATACTTTTTCCCAAGGAATGTTATCAAGGACCCTATTTTATATAAACATCCTACAGAACGATTTTACAAACGTCATACCAATGAGACGTTTCCCAGCGGAGAAAGCCTGTAAGAATTTTCGCGAGAGTTATTCGAAATCGCGCGGAAAAACACGAGGCCTTGGTACTTTTTCCTTATTAACATATTCGGTGCGCAACACCTACAGGTAATTAACACTGTCCGCGCGACGACAGACTAAATAGAGGAATAATTGTTTCCTCCTCGTCGCGATGATATCTGACGCTAATTATTTCCCTGGAACCATCCAGCCGCTCGTTAATGACCTTCGGGCCCGAGAAAGTCTCGCGTAATTACTTTCCTTCGAAGATTTTCCTCGATCGCGCAGATTTCTCGCGGAAAGCGTTGCAGAGTTTCTCTGTACCTTTGCTTTCGTTCATATGAATTATGAATTCTTTATCCATTCTTCATCGTAGGTTGGCACGAGGTTAAAACAGAGTTGTCTTCGCTACTTTAGTAAAACAAATTCTCTTGAAATTCCCTTGCCGAGGAACTTGATACTGCAATGGATTAATCGCGATGTTCGCAACTCTAATATGGTTCGATTTGGCAGGTCTTCCAGCGCAAGGAGGCAGAATGAACGTGGAACGGGCCACGATGGATGGTTGCGGTCAGCAGCCGCTCTTTCTGACCGGGACTTCCGGTTCTAGAGGCATCTCCAGTCCCCAAGAGCAGACCGTTCAAACGGGGACGCCCCAGGAACCCTACGGGGGACCGTTGAGCCTCAGTATCTGCATATCCGATTCCGGGCACGAGATACTGCGACCCAAGCCACGTCGGTGAGTGTTTTGTATTTTTCCTCGTCTCGGTCACCCCCTCCTCCTCCTCCTTCTTTGTAATCGATATCGATCTTAACGAAGATCTGATTAATGGTCGCGTTCGCAATGATCCGCTAGCCCCAGCGACGCAACGAAACTAGATATCGCCAATGGAGTACTCGTAAAGAGGAGAGAAGTTTTATTAAAAGATCATTTTAATAAAACTTGATGCACAGGTACAACATTGAGGAATATGTAATAATTAGACTGCGGATGTTTATGCATTTACGCGAAGGAAAAATATAGAAATATATTGGGTTTATGGGAAAAATGAAATAGATAGATAAATGCTTTTCTACTTTGTCTAACTTTTGGCATTTTTAGAGAATTAAGAGACACTTAAATATATTCACTTCTTCACGGAGATCGCATTAACTGCGATAATTGAACTGAAGTATTCGAATTCGAAATACAAACTGTCACACCTAACGGTCGATTAGGAACACAAGGTTACAGAAATATATTTTCATATGGCCTGTATTTGTGTAAACACTACACAATTATGATACGAAAGTATGGTGATAGACGAAACTAATTTGTCGAGATAGATATTTCACATGAGCACGACAAATAACATATGCAATATATTATAAAACATAATGTTTTTAAACATAAATATGCAAAATATGCCAAATAAAAAATGTATTTTTTATAGCATTCTAATTTCAAAACAAATTTCTGTCTAGGTCCCATTCTTTTAACTATTTCCTATAAGAATATGCATTTACATAAACTTCCGCAGTCTACTAATTAGTAATCTTTATTATACTGCGGAAGAAGAGATAGATTAACCGCATAAGAATACGGGAGCTAGATCGACAGGTGTATCGAGGTGTCGTACAGCGCCACACTCGGTGATCTACGTTTTACGATTAACATATCTATACATATATCACATACGTATACGGATCTCAACAAAATGCAAAAGATGCAAAAATCTATAAAACATCGACAATAATCTGCATGTTATCATAAAATATACTATTATTTCAGTTCCAATTCGTTTTCCCTATCTCTGAAAATATGAATTTGCATAAACATCCGCAGTCTAGTAATAATATTTAAGGGACGAAAACTACCCTCGAATGAGATACCTATCGAATTAAATATTAGGTTGTACAGAAAGTTTCTTTCGTAATTTGCACCCAATTATTTTGTGTGGCAGTGTTTATATAAATAGACAATCTAATTTCTTAGATGTTGATGTTGTAGCAGTAATGAAGCAAAATGAATCGTACACACAATTCAATAATGTAACATTAGACATAAAATATTGCGTATATATATATACTTATTAATAAAACGAAAGAAACTTTCGGGACAACCTGATATTTCAGAGATCGGCTAGAATGCTGTATATGATGAAAGCGACACACCCTGTACATTAATTGGCGCACGAGTCCGTTGCGTGTACACACCAGGGTGAACGAACCTCGAAATTTGTGGAGCTATTACACAAACCCTTAAATTTCAGTACCTATTTGTATGCCGAACAGATTTTTTTTCCGCTGCACGGCTGATGGGACGGGAGCGGGGAGGGGAGGGTGTGTCTTACGGATATATGCTCGTTCGACATCGTTAATCGAATCGGCGGTAATTACGTACATCGTAAATTTTAATGATCCTTAATCGGAGCGACCGTAGACTGGCCCTTCTCTTAACGGTCGTGTTTTGAGGTCCCGCTAAACACCTGAAGTAAGAAAGAAGAAAAGGGGAGGGAAGACTTTGGAATACTTCCAGAACAAAGGACCGCGTTCGAATAATCATATTTAAATAGTAGGTACTGGTCGAAAAGCGATACGTGTCACCAATAGTTTAAGGGGGTATTATCGTCTAGAAGTTTGTTTTCTCAGTAATTTTTACAAATTAATTTTGCGAAAACTATCAAACCTACGGTACCAGGGTTTTTTATGCATAATAAAACGCGTTTCAACTAACAACACGAATTTGTACGAAATACTTGATTGAAATCTATACAAGTTATGCGCTGTTATGCAATGTTGCGTTGAGATGCATCGTTCAATCGGGCGCACAGGCTGTGGCGGTTCTAGTCGTTTGAGACGGAAAAACAAATTTTTTTGTTCAATCTATATGAATGTAGTTATCGTCTGAACTAGAATTAAGTAAGCAGTAAATTTTCTATCGGAATCGCAGCTGTTTGAAAATTAAGATTTAATTTTCCCGGAAAATTGTCAACTAAAGTATGAGAGCAGGGTTAAAATATTCAAGCTATCGGTGTAATTCTAGTTCAGACCATAGGCGATGGTGCCCTCGAAATGCGTGTGAAACCAGAAGTCAGTCGGTCCAATAGTTTTTGAGAAAAACGTGCGCCCGACTTGAAAAATGTCGTTTCGAGACAAACGCGTTTAAAGTTTGCTATACATTTAGCACTAATACAGGTGAACAGCCTTTAAGCCTCTGTAACTATGAGAGCTCTACGAATTTCAAATTAATATTTTAGAGGCACTTTCTCAAAATCCCAAATGATAAGAAAATGCAAAAAAAAAAATCGAATTTTTGAAGTTTCTAGACAATAATACTCCCTTAGTAAACTAGCCGAAGAGTCGTAGCTTTGCACGAGACAAATCGACAGATATCGGATGCATCGATGAATCACGGGCCTTGCACGCGAGCAGCCAAGATAGATGCGCAAGGAAGATGCGCGCGGGACATAAACATTTCGCGCTGTCGAGGCGAGGTTATCAAGGGTTATCGAAGAGAAAGCCTGTTCGCGTAACTCGTTGGCTGACCGATTTACGGTGACGCGATTCTCGGGGTCCCGTTCCACTGAAATGCACCACCTTGTATATGTGCATGCGTGTTTATCCAACAAAGTTACGTCGTATTACGTAAAACAATTAGACCCTCGAGCGGGCGTTAACTGTACCGCGATCGTAGTATGTAACATCGATTCTTAGGCTTAAACTGCATTGTACACACTCGACCCTTTGGTTAAATTACACTTGGAATTTATAATGTGAAATCTTTACTTATAATTTATGATATTAATGCGAATTATGAGCTACATATTTATATGACAGAGCTGATCTTTCTTTGAAAACACCGTTTCGCGGATTTCACATGCTTCGATCTCGCGCATTCCGTTCCCCATAAAAGAAATCAGCGTTCAAAGCACGATAGTTTCCCTCGTCCGTATGAAAATTCATTAGAACCTCACAGACGTCAAGTCTCACGCAATACTTTCCCAGTTTTATTGGATTGAACAGAGAACAAGGACGAGCGTGCGCGAACATCGACTCTCACTCATGTATTTCCTTTCATTCATCGTCTAATTCAGTGTTTCTCATACTTCGACGTGCTTCGATACAATACAATTTGCCCTACAAATGTGCGTCGCGGTCGACTCAATTTGAATATTTCTTATTGAACAAATTTATACAGACTACTCAAATATGTATGAAAATAGGATAAAAAGTTTGTTAGAATTAATTATTTTTTTCCATCCTAAAAAAATTCACGAAGAACAGCTTTTTTTAGACCTCCTAATTCAGGAGACCCCCTTAAGAAGAAGAAAATCTTCAACAAAGCAGTAGCATGCGCTTCGAAGTAACATCTTCCACGATCTCGTGGAATATCGACTTGAGAAACGCTGGCCTAATCGGAAGCCGCTCGATCGCGATGCTTTTCCCCCGGTGAAAAGAACGTTCTTTCTTCCGGTGGACGGAAGATGAAATAGAAATTGTCCACGGGGCGAAGAATTTCGCGCGAATCGTGCGAAAGGAGAGCTGGCTGGCGCACGCATTTAATTAGTTATCCGAAAGTCGGAAACAAGAGGGAACGTTAACTGGGAATCAGGATGATCGCGATAACAAAACGCGCGTGAGAGGATGCGCAGCGATGCTTGGGCAGATCTAGCCGAGATATTTGTGTTAACGGCCTTCCCTTCTTTCTTTCCCATTTTCTTTCGCTGCGACGCCGACGATCTTAACGAGCTTTTACTTGCTCCGTTAACGTCGCTAGGTCAGGGACGCGATGTGTCTACGGCAGAGGTTTCCAAACATTTTGGGAGACGTTCGCCTTGTTGGATCATGGGATTGGTTAACGAGAAAGAATATGTAGTCTGTAAATCTTTATACGGTGGGTGTAGAAAGTATTCGTACACCGATCAATTTCCAAAAAAAACTGTGTACAATTGTAATTTATTAACTTATTTTTTTATAAATAATGACATTCTACATGTTCTAAGAAATCTCTAGAATAGATAGATTACAAAAAAAAAAATAGCTATTTATGTAAGTTGCGAGATTACCAAGAAAAGAAAACAATTAATCGATAGAAATGTTGAAGCAATAAGTATTCACAATTCGCACGGAGCAATGAACTAATGTGTTTTCGTTAAAAACTCTGCTGTAAATGGTTCGCCATAAGAATCGTACGAATACTTATTGCTTCTATAATTTTACCCACTTTTCGCATTTTTTTTGTTAATTTCACAAATTATATTAACTAGTAAATGTTGTTTGGTGTATATCTATCTTAGAGATTTCCGAGAATATATAAAATATCATCGATTATAAAAAAAGGAAGTTAAGAAACTACAATTTCACGCAAAAGTGTTTTGGGAAATTGATCGGTGTACGAATACATTCTACACCCACTGTATATTTTAAAGTTTATTTCTTGGACGCGGAATTACGTCTGTTCGTATCAGGAGTCGAATTAAAAGTAAAAGCTTCTTCCAAAGCGCATTTTCACACTGCCCTCTTGAACACAAATACTGCCAGAGGCCCAACTACGAAGCCAACAGAAATGAAACTTTCCCTTATGAGAGGCACAGTCTTCCTCGACTCTAGATTTATTTTTGTTTCGTTTATTTAATAATAAATCAACACGCTTCTAAAGTAAACAAAACTGCGCCTGAAATGAGAAAGGAAACTTGCGTGCAACCTTAATTCTTGACGAGAAAATATTTACCAGAAGATAGAGTGATTAATGTGATA